ATCTTAAACATGCTGCTGTAACACTTGTGATGCCGAACAAAGTTACGAATGGTAATTTAGTGATTGAACATAGAATTAAAGGGTTATAATTTTCCATTTTGAAAAATTATTTTGACAGATTTTGATACAGAGCAGCAGAGATGGGCAGTAATGCGTTACTTGTAACGCGTTACTGTAATCTGATTACTTTTTCGAGTAACGAGTAAAGTAAGGGATTACTATTGCAAAAACGGTAATTAGATTACCGTTACTTTCCCGTAGGAACGCTGCGTTACTGCGTTACTAAAACCGTGATTTTTTGCGAGAATGTCTCACGACAGTGACGTAAGCGAGTGCGCCGTTAGTGACAACAGCTGTGTGCAGATCAACAATGGATCACATATCGATTGTGGGAGAGAGTATGAGCGTGCAGCGTTTAAAGCGTGGAAGTACTGACCTTACTTTGAGTTTGATTCCATAAAAAGTGACAAAAACATTAGCGTCCATCGTGCGTGGGAAGAAAACTTCTTTTTACAGCGAAAAAACCCCCTAAACTTCCAAGCAAGCACCGAGTGCGCAACGACGTAATGGGAAACTTCACAGAGAAACTCGCGGATTCTTCAACTGACCGCGGCACACCTGCACCAGGGTAAACCTCCGCCTACCGCAGTCCTGCTTTACAGGTGAAAATAGAGCAACAGGACCGCTGAGTCTTTGACTTTATTTATTTTCTGCTGTGTTTTACTTGCATCTATTTGAAAGAGTGAGTGTAAACACAAAAAATATTTTATTTTATGTGCTGGAATGTGTAGAAAATAGGTTTAAATGTTAAACTAATTTATTCAAGTCAGAGAATGGTGCATATAATTAAATTTTTGCTTGATTGCATAAAGTTAAAAGATTAAAACTGATAAAACAAGTTAAAAAAGATACTTTTCCATTTGATTACATTTTGTATGATGGATTATGTAGAAAAAGTAGAATTGGGCTGAAAGATCTATCGCTTTATCACCTCTTCAGGTTGTAAATCGTGTTTTTAAAAAGTAACTAAGTAACTAAGTAATTAATTACTTTTGAAAATAAGTAATCAGTAAAGTAATGGGATTAATTTTTTGGGGAAGTAATCAGTAATTAGTTACTGATTACTTTTTTCAAGTAACTTGACCAACACTGCAGAGCAGTAATGGTCCAGGTGTTACCCAGGCTGGACTGAATAAGATTGCTGGCTTTATTTTCCATGTTAGAGTTTGGTTATAAACCTAAATGTCTACAAAACTGTCTGATATACAGTAACTATGAAGTTTTTTATATTATACAGATATATGGTCCTTAATTTCAGTAACTCTGGCTTTACCTTTCCCAGCAAGTTGACATTTTTCATCTTTGAAGGATCTGAAAGACTCATTTAGCAGCAGTTGACAGTACGTATAATCCCACTTGGACACCTCCTTAGGGATTGTTTTATTTTCATTTTTACCCCCAGGTTAATTGTAGGTGCTATGAACTGCTTGGTTAGCTATAAAACGGTTCATTTGGGTTAGAGTTTCCCTTTCGTGGCATTAAGAATATGTGTTAAAAAATACCCAAATACCCAAGGGTCATTTATAACTGTCCATGTTGTCCATACGTACAAAGTTAGTTGTAAAGTAACAGTGTAAAATGTAAGTTACTGTAACAGTTACTGAAAAGGTGTCACTAGTGTTGACAAAATTTCAATATTAGGAGGAGTAGAAGGGACAAAAGCTATCCAAACCCACCTAACCCTGTATAAAAAAGCAATTGTCCCCTTTGTGATTGTGGCGTGGGTGTGGTCTCTGGCCAGCTGCAGAGGAGGGGTGATGCAGTGAGCTCCCAGGGCGGCGCAGGGGCGGGGTGAACAGGTGTGCTGGGGACCTGTCACTGATTGTCTCTCTCTATATGTTGGCAGTGACAGTCGGAGAGAAGAGCGGACGTGACAGCAGTGGGAGAGAGCGGGAGTGTCTGTGTCCCGATGCAAAACCACAGTATTGAATAAAAGTTCTACTGTCGCCATATTCGCCCGGCTTATGTTTCTTGGGTCCGACGTTACAGTGATTAATCAAATTTTTTGGGGAAGCAAAGTTCAGTTTCACCAGCTACACTTAGGCCCTGTTGAATGAAAGAGAAATAAGCTAAAGGATCTCAAAAAGCAACACATCAAGCGACTATCTAAAGAAACAGCTGAGAAACAAAGTCACTGACATCGATCAGTCTGGAAAGGTTTATGAAAAGTAAACAAACAATAAAATAAAGGTTTTGGAGTGGACTATCAAATTACAGACTTAAATCTGAATGAGACGCTTTAGCATGACTTCAAACAGGCTGTTCATGATTTTTAAAAAAGAATAAGCTCCAGTGTGGTTGAATTAAAACAATACTTTAAAGAAAAGGGAGCCAAAATTCCTCCACGGTGATGTAAAAGACTCATTGCCAGTTAGAGCAAACAACTGATTGCAGTTCCTCCTGCCAAAGCGCGGCAGAACCAGTTATTACGTTTAGAGAGCAATTACTTTTTCACACAGGCCTGGATAGGCTTGGATTAAATGAATGAAATCAGCAGTAAGAAACTGCATTTTGTATCTACTCAGGTTATCTTTGACAAATATTAAAAATACGTTTGATATGACATATCAAAACTACAAGGAATAAGAAATGGGGCAAGTACTCATTCACAGTATGTATGTTTGACATGTTTAATACAACAGGACAGATAATACAGAAATGATACTAGTGGGGGTTTTTTGTTTGTTTTTTTACACATATCACTTTTAGTAAAGCTAATGCTGCTTTTGAGCCATTAAAACTCCTCATGCACCCCCTTAAGTCTTGGCTGTACTTTGGCCACTGTGTATTACCAGAGGTTTGACACTAAGTAATCAAATTACAATTGCTAAATCATTATCTTTTGAGGGGTTGCATGCTAGCATTGTCATTCTAAGCACATTTAACTTCTTATGCTAACACTAGCATTTATTTTATAACTCGCTCATCTTTTTAGTTTTATTGTACGACATTCCTGTCTACTTAGGGAAAGTTCTTGTTTTTTTCCCCTTTTCTGCAAAAAGAACATAAGTGGCAAGTAAAGCAGCGATGGCGTCCAGGTGAACTTTCAGTTTCCTCTTCCTGCTTCCTGCCGTGTGACTCCAGCTCTCAGCTGGAGCGGCGTTTCCATACACGCGGTGCTGGTCTCCCAAAATCCTCTTACTTCCCCCCTCCACACACACACACACACACATCCTCACATAGTTATACACAGCTGAACACGCTCACACACAGAAACACTCGTGCTCACACTCGCAGACACACACAGCGTGGATTTGTTTTCTCTATGATGAGAGGGATTATGGGATAAAGGAGACGAGGCCACAGCAGTTTAGTTCAGGTTGGACCAAAGCTGGTCTCAGCAGCAGCAGCACCAGCAGCAGCACAAAGACAAATAGATGAATGTCTGGCTGCACACTGGAGATCTGCACAGCCGTTAACGCCACAGCCAGTGTGTCTTCTGGGTGCAAGAGCTTCTGATTGGGATTCTAAAGTGGAGAGTGGATATGTTTTTCTTCCAGATGACTGAAGATCAGCAGAAACAGAAGCATCTAAGCGTAATCCGTGGAAGGAAACCGAATAGAGAGGAGTGGAACTCAAAAGCCGGAAAGTGTTGAAATGGATCTGTTGCTTCTAAGGATAACTCCAAAATCAGCTGTTCATCTTTTTAAGCTCTGCAAAATGCAAAATATTTGTCTGGAGACAGCTGAAACATCCCTTTTAGACTTTATTTAAGGCCAGCATACACTTTGAGTCAAAGGACAGTTTTCTGTTTCATATACAGCACGCTATGATATGACTGACTGATGTATTCAACCCATCAAGAGCACAATATGGGAATGGATTGGCTGGATTCGTACGGCGATGATGTCCTCATCTAGTATGCAATTTCACCTGCTTTAAAAATGTGTGTCAGATGGTGACTGAACAGCTTGCCTCAGTCACTTTTGAGAAAAGCAAGAGCGGGAACATTAAATGTGCAGAAAGCACTGGAGAATCAGCTGTTCGATCAAATACAAGTCTGCATTTTGCCACTGAAATGCCGCTAAGACTAATTCTTACCGTAGCTATGCATCGACTTGCTCCGGCAGGCATAAACTTCTCCTGGTTTGCGGCAGAGGGAGTAGTCTAAACAAAACAAATCAAATCAAACAGTAAAGATGAGCACATGCAGATGCTGCACATTATTTCCGTGGAGAGTTAGGGGATGGGTGCTTAATGATCTGTGTGCGATTAGTCACTGTAGCATGTGAGACTTACTGTAAATTTTTATGAGTCACTAGGATGATACATCCAGTTCTCATCATTTTCTTTTCTGGTATAATTCCCACTGAGGTGCCACAGTGGCTCTTCTCCCATCTCTTCCCCTTTGACTCCGTGGACTTCCACCCTCCTGAAACCCATAATGGCATTGTTAGCTTAATCTGCAATAAGAGAATCAGCTGTCACATCGGTGTGTTCCCTCACCGTGTGCATACCGTTCTGCTGAGCGACCACCGCGGAGCCGCTCGTGCGTGCAGCCATCAATTGCCTATCTGCGGAGTCGATGAGCTGTTATTTGACTGCGGTTGATTGCACTAAGCAGTGCGATCTCACACCGGGAGACAAGAAGTCTTACTAATTGGAATGAGCAAAAATCAAACTAGAGGTGCACAAAGTGTCTCTGGGAGTTTATTTTGAATATACTAGTTTTATTTAAATGCTGTATGATAATCGCATTTTCCAAATGGAGTAAAATATGGGTAAAACTGTTACACTGTAGTCTTGAAATCCAGTAATGCTATCCATCTTACCAGGTTTTCACTGTCTTGATTAAAGATGACGGTCGCTGTTTGTCTTTATTACCCAAAACAAAAGGCCAATCGATAATTAATCGAACAGTTATTTTTAGTCTGGAATACATTATTTGCTTTAATTCTCTCTTAAAATGTGCTTGCTTTTCCTTTGCTCCATTTCTTTAGCCATAAGAACAAAACATCAGGCTGGCCGCCTCCTGGCCCAGGCTCCTGGGGAGGACTGCAGGGGCCCCCATACAGTTGGGACAGCATGAACAGCGCCAGGGAGGGACGGGAATTCCTCACCAAGTATGTATGATGATAAGCACTGGCATGCATGTGTTTAAATGTGTGCTGTCATTCTGTTTATGCACAGTTATGCACTCATGCAATAATTGTGCATAAATTATTGCATGAGTGCATCACATGTGGATGCATCATCGAAAAACTACAGTATATGAACCATAAGTGTGAAAACAGTCATGTTCAGTGAAGTCTAAATGTTTAAGGTTTTTGCAGTGCAATTATCTTTATATGGCTAGTTGCTTTGATGACTTACACTGTGGTTAATGTGATTAGGTTAACAGATGATCCTATGTTGGCCATAGGTGTGAATGTGAATCTGACCTGTCCTGGGTGTACCCCGCCTCTCGCCCTATGGCAATTGAGATAGGTTTAATTGAATAAGTGGAAATGGATAGTAGGCTACTTTGGTAATGCTGATATACAACATCACGATGTAACAGTTTTAGAGTAGTTTACCAAGAGTTGTGAACAGAATCATTAATATAAAAAAAACATCCCAATTGTGAGAAAAAAAGACTAGTATGTGGAATTTATAGTACAGGGTGGGCCATTTATATGGATACACCGTAATAACATGGGAATGGTTGGTGATATTAAAGTCCTGTTTGTGGCACATTAGTATATGTGAGGGGGCAAACTCCTCAAGATGGGTGGTGACCATGGTGGCCATTTAGAAGTCGGCCATCTTGGATACAACTTTTGTTTTTTCAATAGGAAGAGGGCCATGTGACACATCAAACTTATTGGTAATGTCACAAGAAAAACAATGGTGTGCTTGGTTTCAACGTAACTTTATTCTTTCATGAGTTATTTACAAGTTTCTGACCACTTATAAAATGTGTTCAATGTGCTGCCCATTGTGTTGGATTGTCAATGCAACCCTCTTCTCCCACTCTTCACACACTGATAGCAACACCACAGGAGAAATGCCAGCACAGGCATCCAGTATCCGTAGTTTCAGGTGCTGCACATCTCGTATCTTCACACCATAGACATTGCTATACTGTGTCTCATTCATAGACAATTTCTTTCAGACCCCAAAGATAAAAGTCTTAAGGTGTCGCTTGTTCGAGAGTCGGAGATTTCCTTTGGGCCGTGCCATTTCAACTTGGCTCCATTCTGTTTACTGACCAATCCCACCTTTCAGGAAACTGGTGTTGCATTCTTATGGATATTTGCTCGGACTCTGGCACCCTATAATGTTGGGCTGCCGTCCCAATCTAGTAGCGATGGAACTAAATCAGAGGGAGAACGTGCCGAGCTTCAGTTGCAATATAAGAGAGGAATTACACATCATCATGAGCCTCAATTTCAAATATCCAGTAGGCTCTTGAGGCTTCTCCACCTCTGCATGGAAGAAACTGGCCTTCCACTTATCGTTGTATCCCCATATACCACACCAAACCATCACCGTTTTGTTTGTTCCTACAGTCCTTGGAGGGATCCATCCAATGTGGGGTCTAGGATGTCGATTTGTGGCTACCTACCTTCAGAAAATAGGGAACTGGACCTACGAGACCTCTCCATTGTTCTGTTAGAAATCTTTTCACATAAAGTTTGTGACAACTGCAAGCATTTGAAATCTGCTGCAATGACCCGGTTACTGCGTTCACCAGATATCAACACAATTTCGATCCAGCTCCTCACGTGTTAACCTCTTCGACATGTCAATGGCTGTGAACAAAGAGAAACTTGTAAATAACTCATGAAAGAATAAAGTTACGTTGAAACCAAGCACACCATTGTTTTTCTTGTGACATTACCAATAAGTTTGATGTGTCACATGGCCCTCTTCCTATTGAAAAAACAAAAGTTGTATCCAAGATGGCCGACTTCTAAATGGCCACCATGGTCACCACCCATCTTGAGGAGTTTGCCCCCTCACATATACTAATGTGCCACAAACAGGACTTTAATATCACCAACCATTCCCATGTTATTACGGTGTATCCATATAAATGGCCCATCCTGTATATATAAACCATTAGCATTAACCCGTTAATGGAAATTTGCCACGTTAATGCGGTTATGGCTTTAACGTCATTTTAACAAGATTAACACTGGCAGCACTAATATATATATGAACAGTTATATATTTAAATAGCTGTCAAAAAGGAATATAAACAACCGTGGAAATGCAGTATGCATGAAGCAGTGTAACAGTCCCAAAGCAATGGGGTGGGCATTGTTTCAGCGGCCTACAAAAGTAACCATTGTTTGAGGTAGTTTGCATTCCATCAGTGCATATGCAGGCTGTTGTCTCTGCAAATTTGTCATGCAGGAAAACACCTCCTGCCATAAGGACATGCTCAACTCACTGGCAGCGAGGTGCTGGCATAAAGAACACTATGCACATGCTCAGCTGCGTGTAGAGTCTGTGGGATTCTGTTAAGATTTCTGATTTCTCTATTAACATGAGACGAGTCCCTTCGGTCTCACAGACCTAGAGACCGGTCTCTGTAACCATCTTTTAACCTCCATTCACTAGGGAAGAATGTATATTTTCCCAACTGGCTAGGGACTGGTTACTGGAGGTTGGTGCCTGTCGCTGGCTGAAATTGGTGGTAAAACGGTGCTTGTGTAGAAGATGTTATCTGCAAATACTTGTCAACTATTCAGTGAATGATAAAAAGTGTGAAGCAAAGCAGAAACAGAAAACACAAGTCTTTCTTCATAGTAAAACTGTGCCTTATTACTGCTGCCAACACATTTCAAAAGGCCCAGCTTTTACTTTGAAGGTGAACAGTCTCTGTTTGTCGTTTGCATCATACCCTTCACAAATTTACCACCGGTAAGCTAGCAGTTGGCAAGTGTTTGCAGATAACTTGGCGACTTCACAGGCAACCGTGGCAATACATTTTTCCCTAGCAACCTGTAGTTCTAGTTTAACAATCAATTTAATCATTGGTTATTATGAATCTTTGGCTCTCTTCTACAGTGTGTCTTATATACTGTCATCTTCCCATCACCCCAGACAGCAGACCTGAGTCTGGATCTATCAGAGGTTCCTTCCTGTTAAAAGGGAGTTCTTCCTTCCCACTGTCACCAAGTTATTGATCAAAGGGGGGTTGTTTGATTTTTGGGGTTTTCTCTGTATTATTTTTGGGTCTTTACTTTCCAGCATAAAGTGCCTCGAGATCACTGCTGTTGACTGCTGTGATTTGACACTATATAAATAAAAATGAATTGATTTGAACTGATAGTTGCCGTGGGATCACTGACTGGTCTCTAGGCCTGTCTTACGAGGGCTTTAGTTTTCAGGATTTTGAAAACTTAGATTATTACAGTTGTTGCCCAAGAACCATTAAATACTATAATATATAAATAGCAAGCTAAACTATTTCTTAATTACATTTCATATTGTTTTTAATCAAATCTTGCCCATCACACTGGCCTTTTGCCCTTTCCTTGATTCATTTATAGTATGAGGCATTGGAAGTAAATTGGAAGTAAGTCAAAAGCTCGCCACAAACTTTGCTTTCATGAAGCGCAGCCTGTCAAGAGAAGAGAAGAGCCATGGCTTGCTCTGAGATGAGCTGCCAAGTTGCAGATATACCCATCACTCACCCATCCCTGCTGTCCTTTCCTTTGTGTTTCCCCAAAACAATTATAAATAATGTTAAAAATCCAAATAACAAATGAGTTTGTCTCTATTAGCCAGTATATACTTGCCATATTTTTGAACTGGTTTTGCGACAGTGTGTATTTTACAAACCATAGCATTTTCTATTAACTTCCAATATTAATTTGCTTTCTTTGGACAAGAGGTTTCTTTTTTTCAGTAATCAATAAGTCATATGTCCAATGACTCGATCCTAATCATTTAAACAGAGCAGAAAAACTGAATCAATAATTACACGTCTTTATAGCAGCATACACCTTTAAACTGTGTGGAACCTGATAGTCAATACTAGGTTAGCTGGGTCTGTTAAGCCTGTTATATAACTCTAATATGCTCTGCTTTGTTCTTGACTGTATTACATTTTTTTGCCCAGTTGTTGGGTATCTATTGAAATTATCTGATGAAAGATGACTCTATTGTTTAAATGCACTCACTTAAATCTGCGCTTGAAAGCAAGAGAGCCAACCATTGCTTCCAGGAATCGTGTTTTGTTTTTTAATAAACTTCTTAAATTATTATTATTATTTTTTTGCTCAATCGTTCAGTTATTTCTCTAGCATCTATTACCATGTGTCACACTAGGCTGAGGCCTAGTGGTAGAAACCTCAGTAATGGCTACCACGCCAGTAAGGAAAGAACCTGGAATTTCAGAAACATTACCAGGATCTGACCTTTTGTTTCCAGCTTTCCCTTGACCCCGTGATGCCCTCGTCTTTCCTTCTGCGGGATTAAATCCCACCGATCCTGACGGGGAATATGAACCGGCATTGCAGATTGGAACATGCTCTGTCACGGACAGATTTACTCTGAGATTTCTGTGCCGAATGTACAATAGAGATCAATGTGATAATGGGCTAGGGAATGAGAATGTGGAATAAATGGCATAAAAGAAGTGGGGCAGAGATTCAGATTGATTGGTCAGAGATGAAGGTATACTGTGGATGCTTGGAACGTGTTTCATGCTCTGAGCAGATTTAGGCCAAGCTGTAGATATACTATAATAAATAGATATATTTCACTGGTTCCTAAATAAAAGTCTCAAACCACCTGAGACAGTAAAAGAAATTATTTTTGTGAGTATTCATATAGTTGCACATAAATGTCAGTATGCACGAGGCAGAAATTTCACATGATCTACTGTATGGATTGTAGGCACTGAACAATGGGATGGATGCTGGCCAGGCAACAATAGACACCCTGTACTGGACTTTATGTGCAGACAGGAAGCAGCAGCTGCCAAGGGAGCCTTTTAAGCTGCAAAAGAGAAAGGAAGCTTGGATAGAGACAGAGAGAATGAGTTAACCCCACTGAAAGTGTGTATCAGCTCTTAATTAACAGGCAGTCTGCATTCTCAGTGTCTCAGCTGAGACAGACGTCTGAGGTTCAGCGGGCAAGAAGTAATTTAATACAGTACATTTACATTTTAGTGGTGCTTTCACCCCGAGTGCAATGACTTGCAATAAGACAAAGAAAATGGCGATGTGAAAAATTTAATATTAACCTATATTTAATAGAGGTGACCGCATATAGCCGCCAACAGCAGAGAACTATTGATTCACAGTAAGAAGATCTGGCTGATGCAGGGTGTTTCTATTTGCATGTTCTCATGCTTCCACTGGATTCCTCTCCAAGCGCCAAAACATGCACTAAAGCCCTCCTTAGAAGTAGTGTTGGTCCTGGGGGACACGTGGCTGCTGACTGCTGCTAAACACACAGGGCAAGTTTCTTAATAATTTTTCTTTTTTTTCTGGTTGTTTCCATTTTCAAGCTTTTTGGAGAGAATTAAATCCTTTTATTTCACAGTAAATGTGAGAAAGGAGTAAGGGTATGACTAAGTACTCACTTCGGGTACTGAAAAACTAAACCTAATGGCCACATTTTTGTATAGCTTATTTGTTGGGATTTTCTTATGGCTTAAAATCCAGGGTGTTTCTGCCTAATTAACTCATTGAACTGGACCACTCCATTGAGATTGTGTTGTTGGCATGTTTTAAGAGCATTTTTAATAGAATTATCCAATAAAAAAATATGCTTTATATGTGGAGCAGACAGTCTAAGAAGTTTGTATGCTAGTTTTGGTGAGTAAAAGCTAGTATTTTATTATCTTCTTAGCAAATATTTTGATGTTAAATACCCATTGGCCCGCTGCCTTTTCTAGATGTCTTGGCACGGTTGAAAGATCCCAAAATAAAAGCTGAACTGACATCGGTTCAAGTTTCTCCTTTAATATCTCCTGGATGTCATTGTTAGCAATAGAAAGCTAACATGCACTGTGTTAAAGAACTGTTTTATGCTATCTCATTACTGATTGGAATAAAATCAAATAAAACATTTCCTGATTAAAAAGAATGAGAAGAAATGAAAATCAGAGTCAAAACTTCAAACTTTTGGGTCCACCACTTATCTTCCTGAGCTAATGACTTTTATCTTTAAACAAAAGCATTTTGAGTTTGTGATGCTATCATCGCTTACAGATGCTATAATTATAAAAGTCACGCAACAGATGAAATTTACATTTACAAAAAATATAAATAGCTTAAAAGTGTGTTTTTGTAATGCTAGTCGATGATGGGCGATCGTGGCTCAAGAGTTGGGAGTTCGCCTTGTAATCGGAAGGTTACCGGTTTGAGCCCCGGCTTGGACAGTCTCGGTCATTGTGTCCTTGGGCAAGACACTTCACCCGTTGCCTACTGGTGGTGGTCAGAGGGCCTGGTGGCGCCAGTGTCCGGCAGCCTCGCCTCTGTCAGTGCTCCCCAGGGTGGCTGTGGCTACAATGTAGCTTGCCATCACCAGTGTGTGGTTGACTGGATATATAAAGCGCTTTGGGGTCCTTAGGGACTAGTAAAGCGCTATACAAATACAGGCCATTTACCATTTTACCATTTAGTCTGTGTATGTGTGGTCACAACCATCTACTAACCACATTAGTTATCGTTGCTTCAAAATAAAACAAAGAAAGATACATTTGATCCCTTCTTTGCAACACTTATATTTCCTTACTTCCAAACAGTTTTCCACCTCAGTTATCTCTTGAGCTGTATCCGTGTGTCCCTGTTGCTTATGTTAGTTTGGAACTGGTGTTTCCCACTCCTCAGAAGGATTCAGGAAGGCTTAGGTCATCTATGAAAGAGATCTGCCAACTGTTCTTATCCTGAACAGCCTGCAGACTTTCATACAGCTTCAATAGACAAATTGCCTCCAGACTGCAAATCTGAGCGATTAAGTGAACAGAAGACCTGTACTCTCTTCTATAAGTGGCTTTTAAGCATAAAATGTTTGAAACCTGAGCCAGAGCACTGATTTATGACCAGCTGACTGCACAGCTCATATCATTCATTCCAAGTTTAAGGATCTCTGTCTCAGCTAAAATCATTTCTTCTGTACAACTGAAATTTAGTGATTGAATTCTAATGTGCATTTAGTCATATTCTCCTAGAAAACCTTCTTTATCCTGCGGGACAGATTTGATCCCTGTAATAGTCATTGTGCCCATTATGTCATCGAGAAGAGAAACTATTTGGCAACTTATTTTATGTCACTCTTCGTAAGTAGGTCAGCAAATTGTCTGAACTGAAAGTGAATTAAAGCCAAAGTTAAAGGAAAGGCGTCCTTTATTTTATTTATTTTTTTGCCTTTTTAAATAGTGTAATTAAATTTGAGATATTGAAAATTATATTATACAAAATGATATTTCTAAGCTTGTGTTTTTTGTGGGGTAGATTTACATAATCCCATCCAATCTTTTTACACCCAAACAACAAACAGTAACCTTCCTTTATTTACTCAATATAATTGCAAAGCAGGCAGCTTCGTGGGTAGCAGAACAATTTCCCCATCGCTTTTTTCTACATGGAATTTCTAATAATGCTGAACATAGAATTGACTGGAGTCTCTTGAATAAATGCTCTATTCTATTATCTCATGCAATGACCAGGGGCAGCTCTAGAATTTTTCCATAGGGTGCCTGGATGGAGGCCACTAAAAATATTGGGGTGGCACACCAAAAACAGAATTTCCAGTTTTATTATGCTGTTGTCAAATATAGCTACTTGAAAAATATGTGAAGAAAGAGAGAAAGAAAAAATATATGCCTAGTTGATTTCCTGCTGTTAATATAAATTGATATCACTGAGAAAATGGTAAATGGCCTGTATTTGTATAGCGCTTTACTAGTCCCTAAGGAACCCAAAGCGCTTTACACACTCAGTCATCCACCCATTCACACACTGTTGAAAAAGTACATATGAAAACCAAATAAGATTTTGAAACCCATAATAATCTATTTTGATTGATTGATTGATTGATTGATTGATTGATTGATTGATTGATTGATTGATTGATTGATTGATTGATTGATTGATTGATTGAAGATCCCAACCATGCTTTAATGATTGTCAGCAGAGCTGACCAGAAGAAGCCAAAGATTCACTCTCTGAGAATGGAGTTAATGTTAAGAACAAACAAGCTTTTCTGCAACCTGATCAAATAACTATAAATAACATGGCAAACAAATGCTATCAATTACTTAGATCAGTAGTGCTTTCAGTGGAAATAAGACTTTTGAAACTTCAAACAGCACACAGAGACCTTCATGTGTTTCAAAACCAACCATTTACTGGTTTTGGTATAGTCTTGTGGGGGGGGGGGCAAATTTTGGGGGATGGCCAGTGCCTCCCAGCCCCACCTTGGTGACGCCCCTGGCACTGACCATGGCTTCTAACTGTTAGAAAATTTAGAAGTAATGTTTATTATGTCATAATAGCACTTAGTACTAAAATACAGTACCCATGAGCATTGACTGAATTGAATTTTTTGCTTCTCAGCCTTTAAATCAGGCTGAAAACCAGCCAGCAGCTGTATGTCTGCTATAATTCAGTTCAGTTCACTTTTATTTACTGTATATAGCACCAAATCACAACAACTGTCACCTCAAGGTGCTTTAAATGGTAAGGTAAGAGAGAGAAAACTCCAACAATCAGACCATAGCAACTTCCTTTAAGATAAAATTTCGGTTTTTAGGGCGCTTTTGAACTTTTGCACCATGCAGACATATACCAAGTTTCAGTAAATAGCTCTTTGAAAATACTTTTGTAGATATAAAAATAGTATTTTATGTCTGTCAAACTGCGTTGTTTTTGACATGTTTATAGATTAAACTGAAGAAATGGGAACGAATTGGGAAATGAGAATAGTGAGTTGGAAAGTCCCAAGAAAAACTCTGAAAGACCTTCAGAAAGCTCAAGATCACTTGCACAGTACTATACATCAATCAGAAAACTGTTTATTAGTGTTGGAATTTTACTTGAATTTCCTTGCGCTCTGTATTTTCTAGCCAAGTATCGCAGAGCAACTCCCTGGAGGAGGTCCACCTAGATGGGATCCCTCCTGCCCCTCGTCTGGTGGAGATGAGACGGGACCCTGTCCTGGGCTTCGGCTTTGTGGCAGGCAGTGAGAAACCGGTGGTAGTCCGCTCTGTTACACCAGGTGGGTGTCAAGATTGGCTTAAACTAACAATCTTTAAAATGAATACTTTTATTTATTCATTTGGGCAACTGTTATAATTTTATTTAGTTGCAAACTAACTGTACACTTGCCTACCCCTAACACAGTAGTCAGTGATACACCTCTACTATACAAGTACAGCTTTATTCCGTGTGGGAGTTTTGACTCTCTCTCACTTTTTCGGCATGCCTGTCAAATAATCAGAGACAATACGATATGTCTTTTTATTTTGGAATATTTGAGTTAGTTTTGATTGGATTTTACCACTTGTCTCAGCTTAAAGTGGTCTAAATAATTGATTTAATATTATAATAAATAAGAATATAAAAATAAAATCACAATAAAGCATTTAGAGCAACAAAAACTTCATTCACAGTGCAAAGTCAGGAGTCCAGTGATGGAAAGCCAGGAGAGTAGTCCTCAGAGTCACTACTTACTGAAAGCAAATCTGCCTCTGCTAAGATTTGATAAAAGGCCAATAATATAACTTAGAAACAAAGTAGGAAAATGAGCCCTCCAGCTAAGCCAGTGTAGTCGTCTGAGAGTGTGCAGATTGACTTATTTTGTTAGTTCTTTCTCCCCATCTGATTGGTTCTGATCAGCACATCAAATAGCTGCTGCTGAAGGAAACTGTGCGCTCTGTTGGGCTGTGTTTGCCTCAAGTAAGCAGCCACAGGCAAGAAAAAGCATGAACACAAATTCATGTTTGGAAGTCTATTTTCCACTAAAACTTTGATTTGACTGGCAGCTTGCCACATTGCTGCCAAACAAACAGTTCACAAACCCTTATTAAGTGTCAGCTCCATTGGCTGCACGGACACAGACAGTGATTAGGCATCTCAATAATCAATCAGTGCTGAATCCTAAGCAGACAATTGAACTGATGAATATTCTATTTACAATGGTTGGCCAAGGAAGGAAACGCATGTGCTAGCAGAGAGTAGATTAATGCTTACACCTATTACACGTGTCTAGACGAGCACAAACAACAAAGTATTTGCAAATTAGCTGCATATTTCGCATCTGCAAAAATCACACACACACTCATTCGCCTTGTCAATTTAGCTGTAATTACTCTTGATTTTATTTGCAGGTAATCTTTGGCTGGCTAGACGACATCTGTCTGCCTGCTGCTTTCATGGAGCGCTTTGATCAGCTGTTGCTTGTTTGCATGTGTTTGTATGTTGGTAGGTGGTCCATCAGAGGGGAAGCTGCTGCCAGGTGATGAGATCATCATGATAAACGACGAACCCGTCAGTTCGGCTCCTAGAGAACGAGTCATCGATCTCGTCAGGTAGATACAAAATCCAGATGGTGAAAAATAACATTTAGAGAACACTTCCCCCCCCCTCACACTTTATCCACTGCTGCTTTCCCTTGCTTCTTCTGATTGGCCGCCCCTCTTAAATGACAAGTCTGAACAGCCAGTGGGTGGGGCTGTTGAGCCCAAAGTTAGAGCGGTTTTCATTGGATGACTTCTCTATTTGACATCACACAGATACACAAGTAGAAAATACTGTCTGAAACCAGTGTTTAGAGTAGACTGGGATGACTTTTTGCGATGTGGGACTTGCTGTTTGAAAAATTGCTCATGTTTTTTGAATAATTTATATGAGCATCAACCAGGGTAACAGTGTATATAGTCTCACCAGCCACTTTGTACAGAAAATAGCTCCAAAAAAGATTAAATATCCAGTGAGCCACAGTTCTGTAGCTCACTGGATATGGCCAGGCTGCTTTGAGCTGACAGGAAGGCAACGGTAACTCCAGCTCTAAGAAGAGCGTCTCTGAACATAAAACATGTTGAACCTTGAAGTAGATGGGCTACAGCAGCAGAAGACCACATCGGGCCCCAGTCAGTGTCAGCTAAGAATAGGAAACTGAAATCTGTACAAGATCACCAAAACTGGAAAATAAATCTCAATTTCTGTGACATTCAGGTTGTAGTGTCAGAATTCAGCATAAACAACATGAAAGCATGGATCCATGTGGGTTTGTGTTAAATATTCAGGCTGCTGCTGGTAGTTTAATGGTGTGGGGATTATTTTCTCGGCAAACTTTGGGTATCTTAGTACCATTTGAGGACCACAAATTGCCTGTTGCTCACCATGTCCATTGTGTTATGACCACCCATCTGCTTCCAGCTGGATAACGCACCATGTCACAAAAGTCAGATCATCTCAAACTGGTATCTGATAACAAGTTAATTAAACTCAAATGGCCTCCACAGTCACCAAATCTCAATCCAGTGTATAGATGGAGGTATGGATGTGCAGTCAACAAATGTGCAGTCTTATGTCAATATGTACATAGACAGATAGATAGATCACATTGTTGGATAAAGTGAGTACAGTATGGGAGAATTTATACTGCAGACATGTGACAGAGTCACACAGAGTAGCGTAACATAATGTCACATTAAGCAACAATCTGTGCACTAGATTGCCCAAAAAAAGTAATTGAAACAAAAAGATAAATAAGCTCCAGGTAAAGTGTTTAGGGTCCCTTTAAATGGCAGGTTGAAAAAACTAAAAAGTTAATTACAAAAACACAACAACATTGGTGAAACGAAAGTCATAATCATTCATTTGCTTTTAAAATTATGAAGTTTCTTTCCAAGTGTTAGCGATGCTTTCCACTCGCCTGCTCAGTAGTTAGTTAACTCAGTTCTGCTTGTCACCCCAACATATTCTGAATAAATAACAAGAAAAATGAGAATCCTTTTGCTCTTTCATTGAAAACAGTGCGCAACGAAACAAATCGTGTTTCACTTCACAGGAAGTACAACCCCTTTTTTTGTAATTAAATGGGGAAAGTAATGAGTGTCTGTGTGCTTTTGGTTTTAACTGTGTCTGTTGTAAGCAGTGTTTGCCCGAGGCGTTCAATTCCATTTCACCCAGGCTAATCAAGATCCTGTTGTTTATTTGCCGTTATTGTTGAGTGGAATCATTGGGTTTTTGTTGTTGTTTATTTCTTTTTTCATGATTTTGATGACTTTACGGTTTTCTGTCTTCTTGTTCCAGGAGCTGCAAAGAATCCATCATGTTGACTGTTGTCCAACCTTATCCTGTGAGTAGATCTCGCAATATATACAGATACATTTGTCAAAATGTGTTGGGATGATTTATAAATCTAGAAAAATGTTCTGTTTTTGGCGACACATACACAAACCACTTTTTCCATCCATTCGTATTTTAAAAATGTGTTACTTTATCATGTGTAAAAATTTTTTATTGTTTTCATATACATATATATATATATATATATATATATATATACAGTGTATATGTATATATATATATATACATATACAGTGTATATATATATATATGTATATATACATGCACTGTATATATATACACTGTATATGTAATAGTAGAACATGAAATGTGGTTTCTGCATTTTATTTTTGAAGGACTTTTTGTTTACTTTGTTCAACCAAATAAAAAAAACATTTAAAATCACACAAGACATCCTTCTGCAGGCCTCTAAAACTCACCTGCGTTTAAACAATAAGGTGATAGTGATATATAATATTTTTATTGCTGACAACAAATTACATAAAGAGACCAAAATCAACAGTGAAACGACAACACAGTGAAACCAGCTCCTGTATATAATTATAAACACCCATTACAGTATGATTATGAGTAATTTAAGTGCTACTTTAGTGTGTTGCTGATTCAGATGTGTTGCTGCTATGCAAAACACCGCAATGTTGGATGGTACCGGGAGAGAAGATTGGCTGTTATTGGCTCTTTTCCCCATGAAGGTCTCTCTGCTGCCCACTGTGTGTGTGCAGAGCCAAATTAAGAGAGCCATTCTATTTCTTATTCATCCAATTTTACCAAAATTGGCTACAATTCAGCCAAGGGCATAGAAGAGTTGCTCAGAAAATAGTCTTCAATTAATTGGAATGAATGCAGAAAAATGCCTAAAATCGGCAATACTGTGCAAAAGTCTTGAGCCACCCATCATTTCTTTTGATGCAGGGTCATTCTGTCTCAAATCAACCAAACCTTCTGTCTCTAATGTGCATACAAATTTCATGTTAGAAAATCTTTATACTTTTTAAGATATTTTTGAAGTATGGTCCGGTAACACACTTTCAGGACTTTTTCTTCTTTTTTGCACATTGAAATCTGAGGCACTGCTTAAATATGAATATAAGCAGTGAATATAAAACATAAAAGCCTGAAAATTCTTTCTTTCTTACCAACAAAATGAGTCAGAAAATGTAACTTGAAACAGATAGATAGAAATGTTTACGCATCAGCTGGTTAAAATATGAAAGAAAAAAATGTGTCATTCAACTTTCATGCTTGGAGTTCATGAATTGAGCAAATATAACAAGTTGTATTACAGAAAAAAAAGATTCTACCATCACAGATTCTGACCATTTTTTCCAAAAGAATATATCATGGAAACTATCTGATATATGAAGCTAAAAGTTCACAGCATATATTATATATAATCAAACTTTGTACCATAAAATTTTTGAGACTGAATGATCCTGCACCAGTTTATTCAAACATGCGCTGTCATGAATGCAAGTATAGTTTTTGTCTAACGAGTTACAAAGTCACTATTTGGTATGAGCAACTTTCTTCTTTAACACACCCTCAATTCTTTTAGGACACCCAGATATGCTCTTTCTGGCAAGTTGTCTGATACATGTAGACACAGCATTGTTTCATACTTTGAGTTAAGTGTTTCTTCAGTGATTCATAGGTCAGTGTTACGTAGCTTAAAAGCAAATCAAGAAAAACATTCCTCTGAAAATGTCCAAAGACAAACTTTGATAGACTTTGAGAAAGCCTGGAGAACTATTGTCCAAGACCACTTTAGTTGTTGGAAGCAAACTATAAAGAAATTAGCATGGCTCAAGTACTGACTACCACCTTCTAGACTTTTTCCAGAAGGGCTTTGTTCCCTTTAAAGCAATTTATTTTAATTGTCATTGGTAGAAACAGCATCACTGACTCAAACAGGAATGACAAGCGAACTAGCCTGATGTGCTTTTTTTCTTCTGGCCCCAGGTCAGTCAAACCTTGTCTTTAACAGTAGAGGTTTCCAGTGTGTTACCTCAGCATAATCAGAAAATGGAGTCATCCCATTTGTCTGTGATTGCTTAGGGCCACATTTACAAATGTCTTGCACCAGCACAAACTGGTCTTTGGTATTAAAAAATGTTGCTGGTATTTACAAAAAAGATCACAAAGTGCTTCACAAGGAATGAAAGCGTATAAAACAAAAACAGACAAAAGTTAACAAAATGTAAATTCTAAAAAGATGTGTTTTTAGTTGTCTAAAGTGTCACTAGCATTGACAAAATGGTAGTATTTTATAACCAAGTAGAGAAGAGGAGTCGCTCTGCTAGCTAACAGCTTACAAGCTAGCAGTTAAGTAGGCCTATAAAGTTCAGGAGTCTTCCAAGAGGAAATAAAAGTGAGACTTGTGGAAGAAAATCAAATTTTTGTGCGAGATTTTTGCAACTTACCCTGTTCTATGTGTATTTCTGGGAGTTTCTCTTTCAAGATCTAAATAATTTAAAGAATAATTTACTGCTATTTAACGTGGGTTTTTTGGGGGGTTTTTGTATTTTGGTGTGCTGGGACTGCACCTGGGCTTAGAAAATAGTGCAACTTTTTTAAAACAGTAAATCTGGCCCATAGTTTTTTAATTCCACTAACTAATGGCAAGAATAAACTTCAGCTTTCAGCCACTATAGAGAAAAAGTCCTGTAAATACAGTGTATGAATGTTTTTGGAAGTAGTTTTTAGTTTGTTTTTAGTTTTAGCTATTTTAGGGGGATATCTGTGTGTGCAGGTGACTATTACTGTGCATAATTATT